TTTGAGGTTTCTGTGAGCTACAATGATGGCACAGCACTCTACCAGGATGACAGTGTAAGACTCTATCTCAAAAAAAAATAGTAATAGATAATATAGCCTCTATAGAAAGAAGTGTGGAGAATCCTTAAAGAGCTAAAAGTAGACCTTCCATTTGACCCCACAATCCCATTACTAGATATCCCAGAAGAAAAAAATCACTTTACCACAAAGACATTTGCACCAGAATGTTCATCGCAGCTCAATTTAGAGTCACTAAGATGTGGAATCAACCTAAGTGCCCACCAACCCATCAACAGATTAGAACTGTAGTATATGTATACCATGGAATACTATTCAGCCATAAAAAGATGGAAACTTTACATCTTTTGTAATAACCTTTACATCTTTTGTAATTCTTCAATTCCATCCAGGTTATTATGTTCTTTAAGTAAAGTTATCATAAGAATGGAAACCAAGTATTCAATGTATGCAATACTAGTATGAAACCAATAAATAAATAACTACACCTTTATGTAAGAGGAAAACAAAATTAAATTCAAGGGGTGAGGAAGGGGGATTGGTAAGCTCTCACCTAATGGGCAAAATGTAAAGGTATTCAGAACAACCCCTAAGTGAGGGGCTCAAGCGCAACTTGAACCTCACCTAACAAATACAAACAATGCAACCTAATCCTTTGTACCCTCATGTTATTAAATTTTAAATATAATCATAAATAAAAAACCAAATGTATAGTAATATAAGATCAAAAGAAGATTGAACTGGGGTACTGCTAAATAAGTACTCCTTTTCTCTATCTGTTAAGGAATTATACAAGTTAAAAGGAAGCAGGGAAAGGAGAGAAGAGAGTAGGTATTGCTTAGGCCTCGGGGCAATGTAAGAGATGAGGGAAGGACTATGTGGGGTGCGCAAACCAAAATTATACGGAAGTTTTCCCAATAAGCAACAGAAAGGTAATGAATTTAGTTATTTTTTTTTTTACCTATCTATCTGCCAAACTCATATTGTCCACAAAAGTATATCTAAAGACACATATTCCTTTCTTAGGAATCAAAGGAACTAAGTACTATGAAATAGATTTAATATCTAATTGCTCTTGAACTGCTAAACCACTGAAAACCTTTATGTTAAGCTAGTCTATTAATGAAAACTAAAAAACTACACCTATATGTACAGGAACTTTGACATGCATTATCAATTCAGGATCCACACCATTACAGCTAATTTGGCTAATTTTCTGGAAATTAGAAGTCAAACAAGAGCTTTTTCACCATACTATATGGCTCCCCCTTACTCCCATGTGGTTCCCCACCAGTTAGTGTGGGGCTTTTCAGGAAGGTAAAAGGAAAAAGATTCTGAAAACATTTTTCATTAGTAACAAATACAGGACAGTATCTTACATCCCATCCCTGGACTACTACCCTTAAAGCCTATTAACAGCAAGCGAAAATCCTTGAGAGCCAGAGACTTACCTTTCTTCTCTTTATTGCTAGAATATTTTATGCACATAACAGTACCCAATAAGAGCTCATATAAATTATTTGTCTGTTAGCCAATGATCCTGGGTCTTAAGGGATATTAGGTATACTGTTCTGGCAACAAACGAAAACTAACCATTCTTAAAACACACAGTTCAGAAAAAAGAAAGATGGAGAGAGAAGTGAAGCAAGCTGAGCAGACCACTGTGGTCATCCTATCTATTATCCCTGACCCCTAAAATGTTTTTATTTCTAAATTTTGAATAGTTCTGGTATTCGCTCTTCATTTTTCTGCTTGGTCATGAAAAGAAATCCCCTGTAACTTACCCCTCTCCTGAAAATTCACTTTAATGCTCAGATTTAGTAAAGAATTTATACATGTTTTGAAAGTTACATTCCCTTTGCCATTCCTTCAGCAACACTCCCATATGCTACCCACTGCCACTGAGCTGGCGATCTGACAGAACAAACCAGAATTCATGCCTTCATAGAACTACATTCTGAATGCAGATATCTTCTCAAATAAATTCCATTACACACCACGCTCAGTGCCAGGAAAGAAATCAGTTGAATGGTGTGATAGCGAATAATGAGAGGAAATGAAGGTGGAACTACCTTAGACAAGTCAGGAGAGGCCTTGCTGAGAGCTCAAAGGCATGGTGCCAACCAGGAGGAAAAGCGTTCTGGGCAGCAGTAACAAGAAGGAAAGAGGCCCTGGAGTGGAAAGGTGTTTAAAGATTGGCAAGAAGGCCGGACTATGGAACATGATGTGAGCTTATATGTTCTGAGTCCTTAATGTATGCCAGATATCATGCACTTTAAATGCATGCTGTTGGGTAACCACTCCTAAAAACCTATAAAGGTAAACATCCCACCACTTTCAAAATGAAATAAACAAGCATAGGAGAGATTAAGAAACTTGCTTAAAATCACACAGCAGGTTTTGGAGCTTGGATTCCATTCCATGCAGCATAAATCCAAAGCCCACATTTTTAACCTTACAGCCAAAGTAAGAGAGGTAAACTGTAGCCAGATCACAAGGGGCTTCATATGCCATAGTAAGGAGCTTGAATTTTATTTTAAACGCACTTGAAAGCCAGTGAAAGGTTTAAGCAAAACAGTCGCATTATCCAATTTACATTTCTACTGTGGCTGCAGTGTGGAGGTCAGAGGCAGGGTGGGGAAAAGTCGTCTGAATGAAAGGAGATCATTGAGTCCTCAGACTACACTAGAATTGCTGATTATTTATAAAAGAGGAGGAACAGTCTAAGATAACGTCCAGATTTCTGGGTTTAGTAAAAAAAAGAAAATGAATCATGACTATAAACTGAAATAGTCCAAAACAGACTGAAGTTGGGAGGGAAGGGAGGAGAGATTCATTTCAATCATTCAATAAATCTTTTGTGGAGCGTCTACTATATGAGGATACAACCGAGTACAAAACAGACAAAGTTTTGCCCTCGCAGAGTTTATATCACTGTGGGGAGGGTGCAATTAAACAAATTAATATGTGAACTATCAGATGGTGGTTAAGTATTATGGAAAACAAAAAAACTATAAACTAGTTAACTATTTTAATTGAAGGATCAGCAAAAGTCTCTCTGATGTATGAATGTAGGCCTAATGACAAAAGGAGCCTGAAGATTTCTGAGAGAAGAGTTCCTGATGTTGGAATATGACTGTGAAGGCACTGAAGGAGGTCTTTTCTTGGCATGTTTGAGGACTATAGAAGGCCACAGTGCATAGCAGAATAGGTAAGAGAGAAAACAGGTCAGGGAAAGAACAGATAATATAGGACTTTGGTTAAGGGCTCTCTTACTTTGGTAAAATTGAAAAATTTGAACAGAGGAATGGAGGAGTAGCATTACTCTGGCTGCAATATGGAAATTACACTAAAATGGGAGTAAGGAGAGAAGCAGGGCACAAGAACCAATAATCCTCTCGTAGATCAGACCAGGAAATGATAAAAGGGTCAAATTTAGGATAGGTTTTGAACAACAGACGGGATTTGTTTTTGAGGTTAGTTAGGGTGGTTTAAGAAAGAAGTCAAGGAGTACTGAAAGGTTTTTTTGAGCTGAACCCAAGGAAAAGATTGCCATTTACTGGGTTGAGATGAACGTGGAAAGAACAGACTTATGAAAAACAAGGAGTTCAGTTTGCCATATAAACACAGAGATTCCTATTACAAATTTCAAGATGGTGAATAGGCAGCTGCTTTTCTGGACTTCAGGGAGGTCTGGGTTAGAGCTATGTGTACAAGTTTGGCAATCTTCAGCAAATAGATGGCACTTAAATCATGAGAATCAACCTAGGAAGAAAGTGTGACTAGAGAAGAGGGTCCAGAACTGAACATTCAAATAGATATCAGTAAAACATTTCCATCACATAGGTAGTATTGTAAGGAATAGTTTAATTCTTAAAACTATCACTTTCTAAAGTCATCAAGCATCAATAAGATGGAACAATGAACTAAAAAGATTTTGTCACATAGGTCTCCGCAAAAGAGACTCTACAATCATAGGAATACTCGGAATTCAAAGCATCCCCAATACAGATGTTGTACAGGGAAACGTTTAAGTGCATAGGTACCTAAGTCCAGACTGTCTGTATCTTAACTCTGGTTCCTACTCATACTATGTGACCTGGGGCAAGACACTGTGCAGTTTCCTCACTACTAAGTTTGGTTAATAAGTTATTGAGTTGTTGTAAGTGATTTAATAAATGAACTTCAGCGTTCTAAAAGTTAGCTATCTTACTATCATTGACACTAAGTTTTGAAACAAAAGTTGAAAGTGGGAGAGACTCTGCAGCTAACCACAGTAATGTTCTAGTTAATTCCCAAGGGCCTGTAGCTCTCTGTTTAGATTTCAAAACGAAGCCAAGGCAAGTTCCTCAATGCAATTCTCTTAGCTAAAGCTTGCAGCTCCCCGTCTGAATTTTAAAACACGGCCAAAACACGGCCCTAAATTCCTTAAAATTCCAAACAAACTTTGGAGGCAACAAGGGAAAAGGAAGCATCCAACAAGTCCTAGTTCACACGTTAAGTAAACAAGTCTGATAACAAAGTCCATCTGTGACACAGACCACCAGGCCCAAATCCCCTGAACCAGTTACTTTCTTCTACTCTCTCCTCCAGAGAAATGTTAACAAACGCTCTTTCGAAAACAGAGTCAATCTCTTGTACTTGGGAGTACATACAGCAAGGAGCTGAGAACCTAACTCTAAGGCAGCAATAGGGGAAAACTCCGGAGAATCACCACTTATTCCTTTTCCCCATACTGCTCAAGAGCACCGTGGGGACAAAGTCTTCTCCAGTGGGTGATGGGGAAACGGCGACCTTTTCTCATCTTACTCCCACCCTGTTTTCTGGCAGTAAAGCGCCAGTACACAGAAGCTACCCTCCCACTCTCCTCTTTCTTTCGCCAGGATCCAGGGCCCGGATAGTGCGGCCCACGTTCCACCCTTGATCGCCTGACTGGAGAAGATACCAGAGTAGAAACAATAGGGCCGTGGCGGCCGCCGTACCTCTCCCGGTCGCGACCGTCGAAGTAAACGAAATCGCCGTTCTGAACGCACTTGGCGCAAGTCAGCCTACGGCGGGTGGTGTTGCACAGCGGACAGCGTTCGACAGCCACGTACAGCCCCTCCGCATCGTCCACTGAGTCCACCAGGTCCCGGGGGAATGGCCGAGGCCCGCAGCCAGGAGCCTCCGGAGCCCGGGATCCCTTCCCACTGGGAGACGCCATGATGGCCTGAGAGCAGAGCTAGTCACGTGGGATTTTGTTTTCAACCGGGTGCATTCTGGGCAGGGAGGAGGGGTTCTGGGGAGGTGCTGAGGATGGGCGGGGAGCCGGGTGGCCCCGCCCAGCCTGCCCGCGCCTGCGCAACAGGGGGGTCCTGCTCCCAGGCCTATGGCCCTTCTTGAGGGGCAGTGGGTCTGGAAGGAGGGAAAATTATATTATAGGGGCAAGTCCCACAAATAAGTAGTCAAAGAATGTCAGCTACTAGGTCAGGCCAAGGCTACAACTTAAAGCCTCAGATTTGTGCAAAATACCAGTAAAAGCATGGCCGAGGATTCTGGGAAGATGTAATGGGACCAGAAGGGGATGTAATAATTCTCTACGTATGCTTTTAAATTTGTCTACAGCAAACGAAGTTGAATGTGGGGCTTTGAACTAGGTTGAATTTTGGCCTCCTTCATAACTGTGACTTGGGGGGAGTTCCTTAACCTCCCTGTGTTGTTTTGTGGTAAATAGATAATAGTACCTAACTACTGCCATGAGGATCGATAAGTAAATGTGTCTATGTTCTAATACTTTACCAATAACTAACCAGGGAAAACGACCTCACGCTATCAAAGTGTATCTTTAAGAAAAGTTGGCTCGGCGCCTGTGGCTCAAGTGGCTAAAGAGCTAGCCACATACACCTAAGGTGGCGGGTTTGAATCCAGCGTGGACCCGCCAAACAACGACAGCTGCAACCATAAAATAGCTGGGCGTTGTGGTGGGCACCTGTGGTCCCAGTTACTTGGGAGGCTGAGGCAGGAGACTCGCTTGAGCCCAGGAGTTGGAGGTTGCTGTGAGCTGTGAAGCCATGGCACTCT